CATGTTTTTTAGGTATAAAATGTTATATAATTCAGGCTATGAATTATATATGACCAAACCCTTCTGTAAAAGCCTTCATAATATTGATAGGAATATAACTGGAAGGTTTGGTGTATGTAACTGCTGAGTGATTCTACAATTTAGGGTACATTCCATGTCCATTGATGTCCATTGATGATAATTATAATTATTCTAACTATTTTCTTCAAAAATATCATATTTTGCCTATTATTGGAAAGCATGTTATAATATCACACAAACATTATGTGCATCCTATGCTTTATTTAGCTTGAAATGTGTCATGATGTTCTTAAATTGTCAGTTTTTGCTATGTCCGTTTTTCAGTTGAGGGTGTCTTGGATTCAAAATAATGAATAAAAACCATTAAAGTAAATTTAAAAAATGATTCATTTATTTCAAAAGTCTAAATACTAAAGAATAATAACATATTTTTAATTCATTTCCCCCTTTAAATAATTTAAATATCTTAATATATGAATGTCCGCAAAAGTTCTGTCAACTATGTTACTAACAGAACTTCCCCCTTTAATGTTCCTCTTTGGCAGACATTTTGAACACACTGTGGTGATTGTCCTCTACATTTTTACAATATTTTATGTATAATAGCACATGGTCAATTAATATACTCATTGACAATCAACAATGTTACGTACATTGTTATGGTTTACAATTGTTTAATGATTTTAATTCAATTATATGTGCAAATGTGATGTTAACCTGTTCAAGAAAATGACATGTGGTCATCCAGGCAAGGCCTACCATTGAAATGATGGGTCAAAATAGGGAAATTGTCAACTAGGTTACCTGTCAACTGAGTTACCCAGTACTGTAATAACTGTAGTAACTTAGTTGACAGGTAACCTAGTTGACAATTTGTACGACATGTAGACGTCATTACACATCATTATCAATGGAATTTTGCACTTCTGCCTTGAAATTAACATAGTGCTGATGGTTAATAATGTGTCCAGTCAACTATGTTATTTGCGTCAAATGTTTGACTTTCATTGTCAACTATGTTGCACCTCATTTTTTCAAATTTAAATATCTAAAATAGTGCTTCTGATATCCTTTATAGTATAATGTATATCTACACAGGTTGGAGTTTACATGACATCTCTTAAAACTATCAAAATGACCTGTATGGTAGTTTTATAATACAAAATATCCCTAAACTTAATGACAGTGCTGAACATATCACATGAAAAAACAAAACTTTAATACAATTATTTTTTAAACTTTAAAAAATCTTTGGATATATGGTAGAATAGACTCAAGAGCCTTTCAAATTTGATTTTACTTGAAGTGCAGGACTTAATCAAATGATTGTAATGACATCAAGTTTGTCCGTAACATAGTTGACAAACTGAGTAGTGAAAACATCCTTTCCCTTAAAATAAAAAAATATATAAAAATGTTTAAGCTTTGCAACTAGTGGATATGTTACACTGAGGAATATACTAACTTGAACCACTGATTGTTCTATCTATACATTTTATTTGGCATTAGTAAATAATTATGCACATTTACAGATATTTTACATGATATGAGTGATAACACGTGTTATAAGGGCTATTTCGCACAATAGGTGTGCCTTGAGATTTTTACTTGTCCTTTGGTGTGCCTTGGGCACAAAAAGTTTGGGAACCACTGCTGTAGAGAAATGTAAACGTTCACCATCCCCCACCCGCCTACTGTATGTTGCTTTTTGACATGTAAATGGGTAACTACCCCCCTCTGAGTGAATACCTGTTGTACCTGTCCGGGGCTAAGCCCATAGGACGATGCTCTGATGTCATCACCCTCGCACATTGGTCATATGTTTACAAAAAACGATGTTAACACTTTCTCGTTCTTAATATATGCTATATTTAGGGTCGATATGTGTTGAATTTACTTTAAAATAGCAGATCACTGTGATTCACTTCTCCGCGGCTCCTCCGTGCAGAGAGGCCCCCCCCCCCGTTGACAATTCACGAGCATCTAACTCTCTCCCCCCTGTGAAGAGATATCACAGGGGGGGGTTGGGACACACACATTCCGATGGCCAATTCGTTTTAAACAAAGAGTGGGGTGGGGGCTGGTGAACGGTATGGTCAATGTTTGTAAACACTGTGACATTTTGACTTTATTTGATCATTTCAGTTAAAAACTAACGTTCATATTTCATATTACTGTTTTGCCTGGCTGGACCTGTAATTTACAGGAAAGGAGTGCACGCTACTAAAGAGACACGCTACCATGGAAACCAAACAATGGTGTTGCTGTATTGAAGTCCGAGTGGAAACAGTCATATTTGGAGCGTTATGTTAGAATGAAACAGCGAGGTCGTGACTCACAAAAAAAAAGTGTTACTTCACTAACTGTAAGCTTGTCACTCAGAGTAACCTACAGTTAACTTAACTGTTGGAAAAGAAAGATCAGAGTTAGGAGTGTGAACACACAGCTGAGAGCTGCCGTTTCATTCTGACTGTTTAAA